CAGGAGCAGAGCTTGGAGAGAAAAGGACAGAAGATGGGAGTGGGGCAGGGACAGAGAAGGCATAGGCACTGAACAGCCAACAAACTACTGCTGCTGGGCTTAAGAACTGGTCTGCTCAGACAATCCAGAAAGACAGTCCATTAGGAAGCCTAGCTGACTCATTAGAGTGTCAGAGTCTGAGCAGGTGCAGCTACAGGGCCTGGACTCCTGACACCAACACAGCTTTCTTCTCTCTTTTGCTCAGAAGAATTGAAAGTTTTTCCTCCTAGAAACAGCACACCTCTCTGCGTCAAGCCCGTCCCTTCCTAGAACCTTCTTAGGAGTTTTCTATATATCCCTCTCTACAGGGAACAACTTGCCCTAGGGGATCTTCCCAGTTAGCTGATGCTATCACAGGAACCTTCCTCACCCCAAACACTGAGAACTCCTGTAGCCTGTTTCACCACCCCCAGCCAACCTTGCTTACTTAGTCACATAAGCCACCACAATCAGGTGCTCCCTCAGGGGACTACACCCAGCCAAGGCCCCAGAGTAGGTATGCTGGGTTACACCTGTCTTTAAAGGAACAGAACATGCTGTTATATGGAGTTAAGTTTGAGATAATCAAAAGAGCCTGTCTAGAATTACCTGTAGGGTGAAATAAGTATCATCTAGCTATTCAATAAGTAATGACTGTGCATGTTACCAGATAGTCTAGGTCTGTAAACATATTTAGGCGTGCTTGGGTTTTTGCCTGCAGGTGATCTACATTTTGGGGCAGATGGCTCCACAGCTAACCCAACAGACTAACCACAAAGTCTGTCTCTGTACATACGCTGAAAAATTATGCTGACTAAGCAAGAATTCAGAGTAGCAGCCGTGTTAGTCTGTATCCGCAAAAAGAACAGGAGTACTTGTGGCACCTTAGAGACTAACAGATTTATTAGTAATAAATCTGTTAGTCTCTAAGGTGCCACAAGTACTCCTGTTCTTTAAGCAAGAATTGGTACTTTTGGAATGATTTAAGATGTGCAAAACCTGACACTCATAAGTACAACAAACTTGCTTTTTTTCCTGATGTTTGGAGGTGTAATATTTTTTAATCTCACTGCTAAATGATTAAGTTATAATAATTCAGTTTATCTTTACCTCTTTTTATACAACTGAAAATGTCAGTTACACAAGAGAGATAATGTGGGTGAGGTAATAACTTTTATTGGACCAACTTCTGTTGGTGAGACAGACAAGCTTTTGAGTTTAGTATACTTTAGTAGACATTTACTAAACTCAAAAGCTTGTCTCTCTCACCAACAGAAGTTGGTCCAATAAAAGATATTGCCTCTAAATCTTGGGACCAACATGGCTACAACAACACTGCATACAAGTTACACTAGAATTAATACCACCAGTTGAAATATCTTAGTGCACATCTGGAACAGGTGTTAATATTAGCTTCTAAACTGAACAGAAAAGGTTAAAAACTAAGGCCCAGATCCACAAAGGGATTTAGGCATTGTGATGCTGAGAGTCATTTGCACCTAACTTTCAGGAGTCTAGAAAAATCACAGGAACAACAAAGCCTGAGTTCAGTGCCTAGGCTCCTGTATAAGGAATAGGCAGAGACAGACACCCTAGACTTTGATCCACAAAACCAGAATGCTAGGCAGGGATCATCTAAGCTAGCTACTGGGAAACACTCACCAGACAGGTGTATGGTAGGCCCCACCTCTCTCACAAAGATATGTACCTAAATCTGGGCTGCAGGAAGGTGCCTTGCTTTGCTTGTAATCCTCAAAATAGTGGAAGATAGGTAGCAGAATGCCTAAATCACATATGGGGCCTGAAACAAAACAGCCAGAGGAGGATGACCACCTCCCTTATAATCTTTAACCTAGTGCATAGGGTACTCATGCAGGATATGGGAGACCCCCACTGTCTGACAAAGAGAAGGGATTTGAAGAGGGATCAGCCACACCTAAAATGAGTGCCCTGACCACTACTCTATGGAATATTCTGATTGAGGGCTACCTCAACCTCTCCAATTGAGGTTGTTCCTCTTCAATTAAGTAATGGAATCATTAACTATGAATTGGGCAAGTGAATGATTCTGTAGCCTTGGGGTTAGGACATCTTATTTATGAGGTAATTAAACTCTGTTCAAATTCATTCAGATGGTTTGTGCACAGAAATCTCACTGTAATCAAGTTTAATTATTCCATGGGTATGTAATAGTTACAAAACAAGCCCATGCAGACAAACGTGTAAGTAAAATAAATATTTTATATTGATTATACCATCTAACTTATTTTATTTCAGTAAGAGTGCACTTCCATGAGTGTCTACTTAAAGCTGAATTAAACAGAATCTAATATTGAAGGATACTTGCATAGTAAGAATGCAGTTCACTTTATAATATTAGCGGTCATGCCAACATTTATGCAGATGCTTAACTTTACTCATGAATAGTCTTATTGATGTTAATAGGACTGCTCACGTGAGTAAAGCTAAATGCAAAAATATAACATTGACTAGATATGTGTTGGGTGAAAGTATTTTTTCCGTTATTTTTAAAACATGATTTCCAATATGGATTCTGAAGAATGATACTGATAACATGTACACCTCTACCTCGGGAGACAAAAAATCTTACTGTGTTATAGGTGAAACCGCATTATATCAACTTGCTTTGACCTGCCGGAGTGCGCAGCCGCGCCCCCCCCCCGGAGTGCTGCTTTACCGCATTATATCCAAATTCATGTTATATCGGGGTAGAGGTGTATACTAACACAGGATTTAAATCCTTCTTTCAAGGAAACTTTGAGCTTTCCACAAGAAAGCTATGGTACAAGAACACTAAAGACTCCACCAATTTGATTTGCTTTCTGGGAAGCAAAGAGTTGCTTCTTCCCAATTTATTGTGAACTCCAGTTATTCTAAAAATAAGATCTTTAAAACGTATTTGTAATTTGGTACTGTTTGTTATTTCTGATTAAGATGGTAAATATCAGTTTCTTGCCTCTGCTGTACTTTCCAAATTTGAAACTTTCATTTTGGTTACATTGAATGCTGTTGTAGAACTCTTTAATCCCTTCAGTAATCCTGCTAGATGAATTTTGTGCACATTATTGAATCATAGGCCCTTATTCTGAAAATATTACTTCATGTGTACAGCACATATGTAAGCATTTGCAGGAGTGGGTTCTAAGGCCTTGTCTACACACAAACTGCACTGGTTTAATGAATGTAGTTTAAATTGGAAAAACTTTTGTGTGTAGACAAGGCCTAAAGGACAAAATTTTAAAAGTATTTAGGTATCTACCATTGAGCTTTTGAAAATCCCAGTAGATGCCTGTCTGTACCTTTTAGTTGCCAAATACTTAAAATCTTGCCCTAAAAGCAATTAATTCCATTCACTTCAGAAGGACTACTCACATAAGTAAGACTTTTGGTATTGGGCCCTAAATCTGTTCTTTCCAAGAATTTAATTGGCAAGATAGCTTATGTAACTTTCAATCCTAGGTGCACATCTGTGACTTCACTACATCATCAACATTTTAAAAAGGCATGTAATCCATAGACCTATACTATGAACACTTCTGACCGCACACTTTGCTGAATACATATTTAAGTAAAAAATGAGAATTTCCCCAAATTAAGAAAACATAATACCATTAAAGACTCAGTTGAGTCATAACTGTGTTTATTTGTAAAAAGTCCTTTTTTCTTTCAGTGTCACCAAGGCCCTGATTCTGCTAGTTGTTGCACCTGGTCAGATCTTTGTGTTTGTGCAAAGCCCATATGATAGGATCAGGGCCATAGTACAACCAATGGGAGTTAAATAGGTATAAAGCTAAGTACATGTGTAAATGCTTGGAGGATGAGATATTCAAGGATTACTCAAATGAGGTGCAGGATCAGGTGCTTACTGTTACAATATTTAATTTTAAAACATTACCACAGCTAAATTATTGGAGGTTCTAGAGAGATTTTATGCCCATCTCATAAAAAGAACTGAAAAGGAGACCAGAGACTACAATTGTCACCAGGCAGTCAGCTGAGAGGGGTGTTGAGGATTAAGTGGAAAAGAGAAGAATGCTTAGCTGCTTGAAGCATTTATTGTTTATGGCTTCTAGGTACTCCAGTAGTGATGGGGAAGCTTCATATGAATTTTTAAAAAAGTAAATTAAGCACACTTTGTATTGTGGCTCTTCAAGCCTGGCCTAACAATTTAATCTCACCTGTACATATGTGTAAACGTTATGCCAAAAACTGAAAGAACCAAGAGAAATTACTATAAGCCAAACCTATTCCTCATGTATTTTTATAGCAACGAATAGCCTCTAATTCTCTTTATATGCATGCCAACTATTTCCCAGAGCCAGTACATTTTAAAGCAAATATGTACCACTTAGCCACTATCTCTCCACAAATCTATTTGAATGTCCCTACTTTTTTGCCCCAATGTCCCTATTTACAGCTTCAGGCAGTTGAAAGATTATAAACACCACCAATTTGTGCTGGGAGTGAGGCAAGCCAGTAAAAAGAAAAATAGAAGAGAGATAAAGAGAAGGTAATGTTCAAAGGCAAGAAGAGTAAAAACTGGGTCATCTGTCCAGTTCACTCCAAACGCTATGTAGCCATCGTTTTTAAGAGTCGAGTATCAGGGGGTAGCCGTGTTAGGTTTTTTACCCACGAAAGCTTATGGACAAATACATCTGTTAGTCTGTAAGGTGCCACCGGACTCCTTGTCGTTTTTAACAGTGGCTGCTTAAATATGCCTGTCTAGATTTTTATATGGGTGTGCAGAACTTCTCACAGCACCGTTTGCAGGTGAAAATGCTGCTTTCTGTGCTCTGTGAGAGGAGATCCCGGCTCATGGGACCAGCCCGTGCAGGCAGGGGGCCCAGTCCGAGTAAGAGCTCTGAGCCGCGCACACACCTCGGGCCGACAGCCTGTGTAAGAGTGAGGAGTAACTGAGAGGGGGAGGGGGAAAGCGGAGTAACGCGCGGGGAGTCCGTAGAACTACTCTAGTTAGGGGGTGCCAGACGCCGCCCGGTGGGCGCTGTAACCCACCCCCGGGGATTCGCGCTCTCGAGCACACCCCGGCCCCGGAGCGGCCAGATCTAGAGCTGGCGGCGCGCGCGCTCCCGTTTCCTCGGCCCGGCAGGCCAACCACCGCTACTGTGCGGCGGCCGTTAGAGTCCAACTGCTCTTTAGGCGCGTGCCGCCGCCGCTTCCGCGCACGCCGTGTGCAGCTGCAGGAGGGAGCAGGGAGGGCTCCGTCCCGTTCTCCCCCTCCCCCTCCAGGGTCCTGCCAGCCGTCGCCGTTGCAGCCGGTGGGCGCGGGGAGGCGACAACGAGTCCCCACTGCCGAGCCGCCTCGCGCAGAGACTTTTTACCTTCTCTCGCTTTCCCCTTCGTTACCCACCATGCTCCGGACTCCGCCGCGCAGTCGGGGAGAGGAGCCCGCGGCTGACCCGAGAGCCTTTCCCCAGCGGAGATGAGGGAGGCAGCGCCGGGCAGGAGGAGAGGGAGCTGACTAGACCCACGCTCTCCCCAGACCACCATGAGGGAAGAGAGAGAAGCCGCCGCCGCCGCCTCCCAGCATGGACCTAGCAAACTCCCCCAGCAGCCGCCGCAGGACGCCAGCGGGGTGGCTGCCCCCTTCGCCCGCCCCGGGAGCGGCCCGGAGAGCCTGCGGAACGGCTATGTGAAGAGCTGCGTGACTCCCCTGAGGCAGGACCCCCCCAGCGGCTTCCTCTCCCTGCTGCTGCTCCCCGCCGCCTCCCCCCGGGCTCTGCTCAGCCTGGGCGCCCTGGCCGCCTTTGTCCTCTCGCTCCTGCTCTCCTACGGCCGGAGCAGCCCCTGGGGCCAGCAGGGCGAGAACGGCTGGCGGGGCCCCTCGGCGCTGCGCACCCTGCTGGGACTGTCCCACTGCCTCAGCCCCCTCTTCAGCATCGCCTGTGCCTTCTTCTTCCTCACCTGCTACCTGGCCCGGGACAAGCGCGAGGAGCCCGGCGGCGGCGGCGGCGGCACCAGCCTCTGGTGGCTGCTGGCTCTGCCCCTCTGTTGTTACTCGGGGGACTTCGTGGCGTTGCAGTGGTTGTTACCAGCGGAAGGGCACCGAGACTTGCCGCAGGGCCCCGCCGAGCTGCAGATGGTGGCAGGCCGGCTGCTGACCGTGCTGGGCTCGGTGGCGGTGCTGACTCTGCTGCAGAGCACCCTGAAGCTCCGCCGAAGCCTCTTGGTCTTGGTCTTCTCCAGCCTGGTCTGGCTGGTCTCGCTCACCAGCCTCAGCTCGCTGCCCCCAAGCCTCAGACCGCTGCTGGCCGGCTCAGTCGGGGTGGCCGGCTGCCTCCTGGCACTGCTGGGTTGGCAGCGCGGCATCTACTCTGCCCAGAGCCAGGGAGCACAGCACCAGCATCACCACCCGCGGCTTCCCAGCGTGGAGGAGAAAGTGCCTGTGATCAGACCCAGGAGGAGGTCTAGCTGTGTGTCCTTAGGAGAAACGCCAGCCAGCTACTACGGCAGCTGCAAAATGTCCAGGAGACCCTCGTTGCCTTGTATTTCCAGAGAACAGGTAGGTCCCCCGAAACTGGGGGAGGGCGTGGGCAGCGCTGGCGGGGAGTGGGGGCAGAGGAAACCAAACTTCAAAACTTTCCGAGGAACCAGTGCCAGTGTCTAACGTGTGTATGTGCGCGCGCGCCCGCGCATATACTGGTATGTGTTTGTAGGGGGATGTGTCAAGATTCCCCTAAAATAATAAATGGAAAGATAAGACGGTAGGCGCATATTAGTTCATCTCTGCGCTTGTGCGAGATCTTTTTTCTGTGCACCCCTTAAGATTTAATTTGTCAATAGACGCAGTGATGTGTTCCCTGCAGGATACAGGGCTTGGACGTTGTGCATCAGGTTGGCAGACCTTACCTCTATAAAAGTAACTTTTTTTTTAAGCACATCCCTCTTAGGTATCCGATGCCGCTTTATTATTATTTTGATTGTGATGTTTCCACCTCCTCGGCTTCTGAAAGACTACACTGGAGAATGAAACTTTCTAGTTGCATAGCACTTAGTTTCTTCCCACCTTTTTTGCCCAGGTGACTGCAAGTATCGGGGGAAAACCAGGTTTTTGAGGATATTACTTTCAACTGGCTGGCACAGATATGTACATCACGAATGTCTGTTTTTCTACCAAGTTAAAGTAGTTTCTTTCCAAATAAGGCAATATCGCGTTTAGATTGATTTGGTTTAGGAACCGTCTTAAGGTTAGAGAACTATTGAGTCAAGTCTGGAAGGAAGCATGAAACATTCAGGTTTTATAAGGCAAGTCTTGCTCGTTTCTACTTTGGGCAAAACCCTTTACAGTGCAAAGCTTGTAGTGCAAACTCCGTGTGGGGGTTGAGTCTGTTTGTATCTTGGAAATTGCACGTGAACTCTAGGAACACTGAGTTGTGCTGCTGATGGAATTGGCCCGGGGCTACTTGAAGTGGAAAATCATCCAGTCACAGAACGGAGAATACAAGTGTGTGTGTGTTTAAATAACATATAAATGAAGCCTGGCTTGTAAGCCAAGAGGCCATTGTTACAGAAAGTCCCGTCTGTTGCTGCAGCTGAGATTCAGAGGTTCTAAATAAATGAAGCTTGTCTAGTTTTGCTCTCGCGTGTATTTCCTAATGCATCTGGTGCGATTGTTTCCCAGAGCTCCCTCCCCTACTGTAATTTATTCGGTGAGTCTGAAGCCAAGCAGGGAAAGATGAGCCAAGCTGAGAGAAATCCTTGACTTGAGCATTTACCTTGCAGAGGAATACAGCATTAGTCGGTTTAGAAATACGTTCAAATTCTGAGGTTCTGTATCAGTATTATAGAGTCATTTAAAAGTTCAAGTAAAGGGTTTCAGAAATAGTTTTATGTAGCCAGTTTTAAGCTTGTAAGTTGGTAAGATTCATCATGTGAACAAGCATTTAAACACATTTTGTTCTAAGTTAATATCTAGGGAATATGGTATAGTAATTAGAAGTTTACTTGCCCTTCCCTCTTTTGTTCTAGTTACATAGTAAATATAGTACTTTGCTTCAGGTGAGTAGCCTCTGTGTCAGAGGAATATCTGCAGTATAGGAAAAATACAAATTGTGCTAGGTTTTTTATTTTTTTTAAACCTTTTTATAGATGGTAAAGCATATTAGTGTTAATTTAATCAAATACTGCCTTAGGTATTTAGCTGACTTTCTAAAAGTTTCTGTAAACTTCAAGCCAAACTATAGGTATTTAGTGTTTGGAAAAACACGACAAATGCCAACCTTAGCAAAATACACTGAATGTTCAACAAATGCTGAAGTCATGGGTGTTTAAAAATATAATTGCTTGTAGACATCCAGGTTTTGATGTTTTCCATTTCTGTAAAAGTGAATAAAAGCAGTATGTTGTACACTTTTAGTTTCCTACATTTTTAAACAGTAGACTATGCTTTACAGTAAATATCTCTTACAGAAAACTTAAATAGTATTAACAGATTTTTTTCACAGATTTGGGGTACTTTGATTTAGGAATACATTTCCTTCTGTACAGTATTTTATCAGTGCTGGTATAAAGACAAAGCAGTTAAATCCCCTTATTTTGCATCTGACTCAGAGAAGATGGTCATTGCAGAGTTAATAAAATGTCAGATGTATCCACTTAAAGTCTCAAGGTATTGATTTTTTTTATCTGAAAATTTAATAAACACTATGCTTATTTGAACGTTTTCAGTATTCTACTACAATGCTAACAGAGGGAACACGTGGAATCAAAATGTAATAACATATTCGGGAGAGAATTAAGGTCTCTTAAAGAATTGTGGTTGCATGTTAAAACATTTAATAAAGATCTGTAATATTAACATTTTCAAGTAGTTAATTTACATAGGGATTAATGAGTACTGTTTTAAAAAGTTCAGAGGAATACAAAGAATGCAGTATAAACCCATAATGGTATGAATGTGTTTTAGTAATCTGAGAGGGCTAAGTTACTATGGTGATATTTTGTAAGAATATTAATATCGTATACTGAAATTGTACAGTGCGAGAAAATAAAGCTGCAGAGTTGACTGAGTCTGGAAAAAATTGTGAATAGTTACGTCTGACAGTGTTCTGCTTAGTTGGTAAAATCCTGTGAGAAAATAATTGTATTGGGTTCATATTCTGTTTTTTCGTAGGCGAAAGCTAATACTAGGAAAGAGGTCTGTGTACATGGGGGGAGAGGGGGAGGGAGAGAGGGAGGGGAGGAGAAACAGCTTCTTGTGTATGTATCCTGTCTACTCCAACAGAGATCAATTTGAGCAGTCTTTGACTTCAGTGGGAGCAGGAACAGGCCCTATGAACCTGATTCTGTAAATGCTTCCTAACTTGAGTAACCCATGTAGTAAATGTCTGCAGGCTCAGGCTCTGTTTTGTTTGTATGGGAACTAAACTGTGAAATATGCTTAAAAATTACATATGCTTTTGCTGTTTGACAATGAATATCCATGCTGTCTTCAGATATCATATTCTACAACATTTTGCCTCCTGCATCTGCTATAGACATAGCTAACAACATAGTTCTGGAAAACTGACAACTCGTGTACTTGTTTTCCTCATTTAAAATAGGTTATACCGTAATGGTTTATTTTTAGAAACCTTAAATAAAACTTAAACTGGTTATTAAAATAAAAATAAATACAAAACAGCAAAAGGGTTATGTAATATGATTTAATTTTAAGTCTAAATTTCAAATAAGCACAATTTTTTCAGACACTTCAAGCACTGAACATATTAGTGTTTTTCTACTCTTCATTGAAATAAATTAAACATTTTAAAAATCCTGCACTTATAGTAAACAAACTTCATGTAACTATTTCTGTCTTCATCTTGAACCCAGTGTTACATTCATTATTTATTATTGTTTGGTGTTATAAAATAAATATTTACAGAACAAGTAATCAAAACAGTTCCTACCCTAAAGATCTTAATCTGATAGTCCAGTTCTATTCCCACTGAAGTCAAAGGGCGTTTTATCTTGTCATTACTGGGAGCAGGATTAGGTTTTAAGGGCCTGATCTTGCAAACAATCGCAGGACCGCTCCCATGGACTTCAAAGGGACTGGTTGCCTGAGTATAGCACACCTCTAACCCGATATAACACTGTCCTCGGGAGCCAAAAAATCTTACCACGTTATAGGTGAAACCGTGTTATATTGAACTTGCTTTGATCTGCCAGAGTGTGCAGCCCCGCCCCCCGAGAGCACTGCTTTACCGTGTTGTGTCTGAATTCGTGTTATATCGGGTTGTGTGATATCGGGGTAGAGATGTATAATATATTCCAGCTCTAGTTGTGATCTGTGGAAACATGAGGAATTCAGAGTTGGGACCCTCTATAGTACTGGACAGCACGACAGACCTTGTGGATATCATATGTTTGTTTGACTTATTCTGAAAAGTACTGTAATATGCAGTTGCTTGTCTTTAACCGATGTATTAGGAAGAAATACATTTACCATATAAGATGAATGTATGGGAGGTGATTGGGCTCATTGAGTAAACAAGATCTACTATGTAAAAGATACTGTGTCTTGCAGGAAAGGAATTTTTTTCCCTTGATTTTTATTTTTATGTCTGGGTCAAGTGTGACTGAAATAGTCAATGCTCTAAAAAATTGAGCTAATTTTTCCTAGCTATTTGACTTGTTCAGATGTGCAGGAAGCTTAGTATGTTTCACAGAAGCAATTACTTTCATTTCACCCTCTTCTGCTTAGATGAAGGATAGTCATGTGGTTAAAACACTGCCCTGGAAATCTGGGTTCAATTCCATAGATTAATTTTGTTTGTTTGTTTGACCTTGGAAAAGTCACACAGGTCAAGTTTAAATACAAGTTTAAATAGATAGGTAACATGAAGTTAATGGAATTACTCATGTACTTGAACACCTTGTTGCACTGGGGCCTTAGTCTCTATGCCTCTGTTTCCTGTTTGTAAAATAGACATTAAAAAGTTGATATTTTCCTACTTGCTTGTTTAGATTGTAAGCTCTTTGGAGTAGGGTATGTATATCTGTTGCTATATAATTTTACATTGCATTTTAAAAAAAAGTAGAACACTGAAATCAATTAGAGCCCATAACACTACAGTAATACATAGTTAAATTTATTATTATTATTATTTATTATTTGGTGCAAATTTTAGAGGCTGGCTTTTTAAAATGGTTGCAATGACTGAGAACAGGTGTAATTATACAAAAATATTTGTGATACTGTCATTAACAGGAGCTCTGTATTAAATTATTTTCTTTTGTACATAAAAGCAGTATTTACATAAAAGCAGATCTACAACCTATCCTGGAAAATGATCCCTCACTCTCACAGACTTTGGGAGGCAGGCCAGTCCTTGCTTACAGACAACCCCCCAACCTGAAGCAAATACTCACCAGCAACTACACACCACACCACAGAAACACCAACCCAGGAACCAATCCCTGTAGCAAACCTCGTTGCCTACTCTGTCCCCATATCTACTCTGGTGACACCATCAGAGGACCCAACCACATCAGCCACACCATCAAGGGCTCATTCAC